AAAAGAGCTAAGAATTATTGAGGTGCTTGCTGAAGGTGGAGCAAATACTGAATGGGTAGTAGAGGAAGGTAATTACAAATGTCAGCTAAGGCCATGTGACCAGTTGCAGATACAAGGATTTTAACTGACATAAGCTTTTCTGTCATGTTTTTCTTAAGGATACATTTGTGCAAATATTAGTATTTTCTTTCCTCAATTTATCATGTGATATAATATCAATTAAGAGAATGTTAATGATTATCATATTTAAGTTTGAGATACTGAAAGAGTGGCCCACGTATTCTAAATTTGTAATGTATTTGTGTTGTATGAAGGATAATTATATCATGTTAGGCGTAGTGCATTTGTGTTTTCCCATGGGATAGTTATATCATATGTAGGCATAATTATAACCTGTTTACTATTTTTATTTGGAAATTAATTCTGACATAAAGAAATATGATTGTGTGTCAAGTTGGCAAGGGGTGAATTTGTGATTGCTACTCTTGGTTGTCAACTCAACTAACTAAAACCCCAAAATGCTTGTTCTTGCCCAACTAGCAAGTCCATTCCTTCACTGGTATTGAGCCTTCTTTTTTATTATTTAAGTCATTACAGAAGATCAGCTGAGACATCTAGCCTTTTGAACTGAACAATTACTGGATTCTTAAACCTACCATACATAGGCAGCCATATTGCCATATTGGATTAGCTGGACCACACCCCCACAGCCTATAAGTCATTCTAATAAATCCTCTCTCTCTCTCTGTGTGTGTGTGTGTGTGTAAGAGAGAGAGAGAGAGAGAGAGAGAGAGAGAGAGAGAGAGAGAGAGAGAGAGAGAGAGAGATTCATTCTATAAATTCTGTTACTCTAGAGAACCTTGAGTAATACACCAGGTAGCCTGTGGACTACTTTCAAATAAGCAAAGGAAGTTGAGGAGAAGTCAGGTGACAGCCAGTGTGAGAGGAAGAATCTGGGAATAAACTTAGTTTTCTTCTCGCTTTATCAAGCTGGATAATTTTTAATTTAGTTCCTGAGAGAAAGATCTGCATTTCAGAGGGAATGCAGCCTCTGTGACCTTTGGAAATGATTTAAGAGAAAACAGGGGGCCTGCACTCCTCTGACATGCAGGACAACAAGCTGAAGCTCCAGAAGTATTTCAGGAGCTATTTGATTCATCAGAGTCAGCATCACCATGTTCCCCTGACTGTTGTATGCATCTACAGTACTGGGAAAGTCTGGTGCCCCTCCTTTGAAATTCCAAGGCCTTGTCAACAGTGGAATGAAATGGAAATTAAAGGGTCAGATGGTAGGAAAGTGACCCAGTTTAGGGATGTTAGCCCTTGTTAAAAGCTGTCAGTTCACTGGAATAGAAAGGACTGAGACTGGCAGAGAGTCATTCAAGAAATAATTACCAAGTGCCTCACACAGCTTCTGGGATTCTGAACCAGCTACAAGTTGATACATTTGAAAGTCTGGTTGTGTTTCATGTATGTGTTGCCTTAGTTCTGTGTAGGTGTTGTATAGTGAGTGCAAGGCTTGGATTTATTTGATAAACAAAGAACACCCCCCCCCCAAAAAAAACCAAATCGATTTACAAGGATCATTTACAAGTTCATAAAAAAAATACTATAAGCCAGCAGGAAAAAGGAAGAAAGAGTAGGCTTGGTGGTTTGGGCTGTGATCCTAACTCAAGAAATTGAGGCAAAAATGATAAAATGGGGAATAATAAAAAGGCCAAGGGTTCAAAGTGGAGCTGAGAATGAAGTTAGTCCTTTGTATACAAGATGCATCCTTGCGATCCTAACCCCTGGTTTTCATTTTCAGTTACTAAGATACAGTGGCACTCATCCATTAAGACAAGCAGTGACAGTGAAAGCAGTTATCTGGTAAAATGAATCCCGGTGATAATCTAGTCATACTGGACCTGCATTCTACTAGCAGGGACACCCAGGACTCTTTCCTAGACACTTATGGCAACTCTCTCCCTCCTGGCAGCCTCACAGCCTTGATATTTGGTATCTGACAAGTGGATCCTAACCTTGGCAGGGTGCTTGCCAGCCCAGGGCCAGCAGGGGGCCCTGAGTCCTCATGAGAATGCTGGCCACCAACTGCAAGAGAGGCCTAGCTCCGCAAAAGTGAAGGGCAGTTTCAAGGCCTTTGATCCCTATGAAGGAGCACACAAAAGAGTTTCCCACCAGCCCTGGCCCCCTCGCCCTCTCAGGGGCAGAGAGTGTGAACTGTGAGTGTTTAGACTGATTGTGTGTGTGTGTGCTTTCATAGACACTCTGCTGTCTTTAAGGCCTGGTTCCTGTATAGGCAGAGGGACTGCCGTCAATCTGTCCGTGAGGCTCTCATGAGATTTCAGTGCCTGTCCCAAGCCTTCCTTTTTATAGAACAGAGAGCAAGCATTTCTTTTCTAACAAGAAGTTTTACAGGCTTCTGAGCAAGGAAAGAGATGGAAAGAGAGCCCTGAGGGTAAGGGGGCATTCATTCCATCCTCCAGCCCTGGGATTCCCCCCCCCCCACTTCCCTTCCTAACACAGCTTTGTGCTTGAGGGTTTCAGCTGATGAATCAGTGGATGAATTCCAGACTTGGGCATTACTAGCCCACCACCAAAGCAAGTACCTGCTGTAAGGGAAAAGGGCCAACTAAAGAAACACACCCTGAGCAGAGCTAAAGAAACACACTTTGGCTCTGCAACCAGAATCGAACGAAATGCACCCTGACCCTGAAACCAGTGCCAAAGAAACACACTTTGCCCCTGAAATCAGAGTCAGTGAAAGAAATACACCCTGGTCCTAAAATTAGAGCCAAAAGGCCAAGAAGGACCAGTGAACGAAACCTACCTTGGCCCTGAAACCAGAGCCAAATCTGATCCTAAACTTGTGCAGAAAACCAACCAAACCCTGAGCATGAGATCTAGCCAGTCTGAGCTCAGGGATTGAAATCTGACCAATCCCCATCCTGGAAATCTCCCTGGGAAAACTCCACTCCCTTAGAAGCCATATATAAACACCCATGTCTGCTCAGCTTGTGGCTGTTCGGCCTGCCCCACTGTCCTCGGCCACCCTGGCAGAGAAGAATCCACTCTCCTGGATTCTTCCTTCCCAATAAATCTCTTGAATGAGGTTTGGGTGAGACCTTTCACTGGAGCAGAGATCCAGAGACCACCCTGAGTGGAGTGGGCAGAGTGAAGTTGTTACACTCTCCAGGGGACTGGAGCCCAACTGTCACAACTTCACCAGGGAAGCCCTCTCCTGCCAGAGCAGAGCTGATACACTAGAGAAGCCTTTCCCTGAAGCAGGGCTGTAAACTGCTATGTTTACTGTGACCTCTGGTATTCCTTGGCTCCCAAATGCCAGAATACCTTTTTATCTGAGCTGTAACACTCAGTATTCTGGCTCCCAAGGGCCAGAGTTCCTGTCCATCTCACCTGAGTCATCAAAATGCTTACACTGGCTCCTGGACAATCTAACTGGCAAGCTTCTAGATACTTTCAGGTGTCATGAATTAAGGTGCAAGGGCCCCATCCTGAAAACACTGAGTGTGTTCTGATGTCTGTATATAAGCAACACTCCACTACCAGAGCTGCTTATTTCAGGTGTACAGTAGCTCCTTCCTTGTAGACTATTCCAAATGAAAGTAAGTGTGTGTGTGTGTGTGTGTGTGTGTGTGCGCGCGCGCGCGCGCGCACGTACACACACACACACACACACACACACACACGCGTGGGGGGCGGTTGTGGAGGCTAGAGGTCAACTTGGATGTCTTTCTCAATCATCCCTACCTTATTTTGGGGTCTCTTGATAACCTTGGAACTCACTGATTAGGTTTGACTGGCTAGCCAATGAGCTCCCAGATCTCTGCCTTCCCAGTGCTGGGATTACAGGCATGTGCCATGGGGCGTTTCCTGCTGGGTATCTGAACTCAGGTGCTCTTGCTTCTGAAGCCAGTACTCTAAACTGAGCCTCTTCCTAGCTCCCAGGTTTGTTTACTGAACATTTCCAACCCCTTTGTGTGCCCTAGTTTTTGTGGCTAGGGCACAGTGGTACCTCTCTTTGCTCTTTCCTGTGGGTGACACATTGCGAGTTAAGAACGGTCACTTTCAGGGTCACTTGTGGCCTTTGCTCACCAGCAGATTAATTTGGTGGAAAATTCAAGGGGAAATAATGTACTCATATCATGCTTCCTGACAGCCAGGGCACACTGCAATACCACCTGAATTCTGGGTTTATGTGATTTTCATAATTCGGAGTTCATTAGTGCTGAAGACAGTAAGCTAGAAGCAGTCTTTAGTGGTCCACTTTCACCAAGTTGTCTTCTGGGGGTCATTTTCCACCATGCTTGTGTGGCTGCAGCAAGCAGCATCCAGATGCAGAAGGGAAAAAAAACCAAAACAAACAAACAAAAACAAAAAACAAAACAAAACTTTTGATCTTCTTTCCTTCCTTTTCCTTTCTTTCCTTCCATCTGGCCTGCTTATAAAGGTTTTCTAGGTTTTTGGATTTTTGTTTTGTTTTTTTGAGACAGGTTTTCTCTGTAGCTTTGGAGCCTGTCCTGGAACTAGCTGTGTAGACCAGGCTGGCCTCAGACTCACAGAGATCTGCTTGCTTCCTGAGTGCTAGGATTAAAGACATGTGCCACCAATTCTAATTTTGACCATCATAATGACAATGCCACGCCTTAAACTTTTACAAAGAACCTTTTCAAAGATTCAGTGCATTGTCACCAATTTTATCTCTGTTTTCTGGGATCTGTGACAACAAATATGTGGACAATTAGAAATATCATCTGTTTTATTAAAATATGTCTGAATGCCTGTGGAGTTCTCCCTGGTAGGCCATGTGTCTTCTCTTTCAGGGAGTACATCTGTCCATTTAGGGCACTGCAAGCAGTTTTCCACTAGGCAAAACAGCTTTCTGAAACTACCCTTTGCCTCCGTTACTTTTTCCAGCCAGAATCCTTACCACATACCCTCTAAGCATAACTTAGAGAGGTGGGGGTGGAGGGCTTGGTGCTTAAGAAGTCTAAACATACTGATGAAATTAACCATATCTAAATGTGGCCAAAGCACATGGATTCCCTTATTGAGAAATTACGGAGATATTTGCTTTTCAGTACATTAAGTCTGCAGCCACATTAGTAGTCTCTGTATCTTTAGAGTTTGCAAAAGGGAACTGAAACCCAGCAAGTCGTATCAGGATCCCATTCAAAAAATGAACAAAAAAGCAAATGAAAACAACCCAGAATGAGGTGCTGTAGTTTTCATTTTGCGTCTTGTAGGCATAGGTCCCTTCTTTAAAATTTGCAATTTTCTCTGAGAGGTGGTGAATTTTCACTTCAGAGGCAAACAATATCATGACAAGACAGCCACAGGAGCCTGCAACACAAGGAACAAACAACACATTAGGACAAAAAGAACCTGATTGTAGGAGTCAAAGAGTACATCAAGGAGCCAACCAGAGATAGTATGTCACCACCACCCTCATCTGCACTCTTCTCCAACATAATACTATTGAAAAATTGCAATCATGAGCTTGATTCTCCAACCCGTGACTGGAGCACTTGGGGTGTGGCTGTGAATAAGGAAGAGTCATGCAGGGAGGGGACAATGGTGGCTTGAATATGGCAGTTAGAAGCAAGCTGACCTCACTGCAGCCTGAATTGCTGGGCACCTTCAAAGCACAATGACAAACTCGACTGCTAAGCAGCCACTGTGGCTCCAAGAGAACACATTTCTCTTTACTTCATGGGTGATAATGGATAAATATCAGTTATGCAAACCCTTGTGAAAAGCCCCAGGGTTCCCCATAGAAGGGTACCATGACCCCTCCAACTCTCAGCTGGCCACCACTGCCTAGATGAGTACCGGGGCCAAAGGGAGCTGTAGATAGAATGTTGTTGACCTAGAGTATATCTGCTCTCTCTACAATCAAATTCAGATTCTCAGCTGAGCACGCGCTGCCTTTAATCAAGTCAGCCTTGTTCAGAAATGAGGGTGGCTGAGGTAGGGATGCAGGAAGTTTCCAGTTTACTCCCTTCTTCTCATAGCTGAAATGTGGATGCAGTGTCTTCTGGTCCAGGTGGCATCAGAAATGGAAGCCATGGAACGGGACAGAGAGCTCTCTGGTTAAAGTACTTACTGTGCCAAGGTGAGGACCCCCAGGACCCACGTAAATGCAGGGTGGGTGTGGTGGTTACCCTTTAATTCCAGCTTAGATGGTAAAGACAGGTGATGGGAGATGTCATTCTCTATATGTTTCTCATACTGGTTAATGAATAAAGCACTGTTGGCCAATAGGAAAGAGAGATAGGTGGGACTAGGAGACGAGGAGGAAAGAGGAAGTAGGAGTCAACATGGAGAGTCTGGAGAGAATAGAACTGCCAGCCACCTCTCGCTGGTAAGACCACGTGGAAATACATAGAAATGGGTTAATACTTAAGACAGAGCTAGCCGATAAGAAACTAGCACCTGGCCAATAGCATTGTATCAAATACAGAGTCTCTGTGCATTATTTGGGGCTGTCGCGGCAGCGGGACAAAACCAGGCAGCGGGCGAAAAACCGTACTCGTTACAGACAGGGCCTCCCCATAGCAAGCTTGCCAACAAGACTAGGCATATCTGTGAGCCTTGGATTTAAGTGAGAGGCCCTTCCTCAAAGAATGAGATGAAAGAGAGATCAGAGTTTGTTCCCATCATCAGCCTTGAGCCTCCGCAAGCGTGCTCATTCAAAAAGAAATAGAAGCCATGTACTATTGAAAAAAGGGGGGGGGGGGATCCAGACTATCCCTCGATTTTAACCTCCAAATTTCAATGTGTGAAGAAGTTTTGTTTATTTTGCTTGTCTCTATGACTTATCACTGATTATAACCTAACTTTAAAGGGTATGGCTGTAGGCTGTGTGAGACCTCTGGAGAAGAGAGGGTGGCCCCATTCTAACTGGGTTCGAGAAGCTGATCAGGGGTCATCCGCAGTGGCTTGTTTTCACTTTTTTGGATTTTTTGAGGGACCCACCACCCAGCCACAAAACAAATAACATTTGGAGTCTTATTCTTACTTAGGAATGCCAGACCTTAGCTTGGCTTGTTTCTAGCCAGCTTTTCTTATCTTAAATTAATCCATCTATCTTTCCCTCTGGGCTTTTACCTTTCTTACTTTTGTATATCTTTCTTTTCTTTTTACTCCATGGCTGGCTGAGTGAATGGCCCCTGACACCCTCCTCCCCTTGGTCTTTTGCTATTTCTTCTCTTCCCCCTTTCTCCTTCTATTTATACTATCTGCATGCCAACCCTGCCTACCCTTGTTCGTGCTCTGCTATTGGCCATTCAGTGCTTTATTAGATCATCAGGTGTTTTAGACAGGCAAAATAACACAGATTCACAGAGTTAAACAAATGCAGCATAAACAAAAGTCACACACCTTAAAATAATGTTCTACCACAAACAGTAAGCACTCAACCACCTCTGCATAAACTGCTGCCCAACCTCCCTCACACCATGAAAAACTTACTATATCCAAAACTGTAATAAAGTATCTTATTCCCTCAAATAAGATTATTGTCAATTTAGCATACGACTTAATTTATTCTTTGATTTCTGTTACTTCAAATACTATGGAGAACAGCAACATAGTGCTCTCAGTTTCCATTTGTTAATTCATTCATTCACTTTTTTTCAGTTAGACATATTATAAACTAGGCACAGGGATAGTAATGAAGATTCAAACTTGAAAGGAAACATAGACGGTGTCTGTTCTCAAAGAGAATATGATGAGTTAGGTGGCATAGTCACAATGATAAACTCATTGCAGTGAGTGTCACAGAGAATGGCAGGGCACTATTACTGGGGGTGTGGCATGGCTTAGGCAGCATTCTCAGAGGTATCTTTAGGAAATGTTAGCTCACAAAGGGAGGCTAGACCACGTAGGCGGATCCAGTGAGTGCAAGCATAGGTTCCCATTCCTTCTCCAAAAGCAGGCCTGGATTGCTGCACAGATGGGGACTGATAACTGATTCCCAGGAAGGGGAGCACGGACGAATAGGAAAGGTGGAGTCATACTGCTTTGGGATTTCACAAAAACACATCTGCCATCTGAGTACTTGTGATGCTGAGGCAGGAGCATTTCATGAGAAATAAAGAAGAAAGTTTTTAAAAGATAGGCAGACAGAAGGAGACACACACACACACACACACACACACACAGAGAGAGAGAGAGAGAGAGAGAGAGAGAGAGAGAGAGAGAGAGAGAGAGAGAGAAAGGAGAAAGAATTCCACCCAGCAGCCAGGGCTGGCCCCATCAAACCAGTCCTCATCAAACAACACGGATAGCCAGAAGGTATCACTTTGTTGACACTTCACATCCACCTGCCTGGGCCTGGCTGCTGAGAAGATTCCTCTGTGAGATTTGTCAGCCTAACTATTTTTGTATTCCAAGCTTCACACCAGAGCAAACCATATTATTTCTTTATTGTTAGATGCTAACAAAAGGCCGAGATGCTGTTTTCTCTTTATCTTTTATTTGAAAATTATAGAGAAAATGCCATTGCCGTTACCATAAGAGCTTTCTTTGTCTGAGGAGATGGTGAGTTTCAGACAGGAGAGAAACACTATTTCCTCAGTGCCTGAAAGGAAAATTCAAGCTCAGTTTCCTGTTCAAGTTGTTAAATATTTTAAAGGGATCCTTTGTTAAAGGGACAGCATCTTAGCGAACCTGCATTCAGATTCCTGGAGTCAAGTCACCTGCGCGCGCATCTTGGGACACAAACAGGAACTCATCATGAAGATCACAAGCAGCTAGCTGGGCCAGACTATGCCATTAGTAGAGCAGTCTGGGGCTCCCCTCCAGATACCAGCTTTGACCACAGTCAACATCCTCATCTTGAAGTTGAGCCCCGACAACCTGCTTGCAACTGCTAAAGGGAAACCTCTCAGTGTGAACTGGAGATATTTTTGCTTCTCTTTGTCCATATCCATAAAAGATATGTGGGATCAAGGATAGCTATTTATGAGTTCCCAACCAAAAGATACAGATGGAGGGCTTTGCACTCACTGTGTGGCCCGGCTGCTTGGGATGTGGAGAAAGGTGGGCTGAGAGGTAGTGAGAACTGGGTTCGTCACATTACAAGTGATTCTTGGTCCCAGCAAGAAAGGCCTCCACATCCTGTCCCCTATTTAGAGAGGCTTGCTTTGCTCCTCTTTGGGAAACTCCCCCTCCCACAAAGGGGGGCGTGCTTGAAGCCACTGGAGTATGTCCATCTGGGGAATGCGCCTGAGTTATAGGCCACACTGTGGGACCCTACGGCTCTTGCCCCCATAGATCTGAGACCATATCCAGGCTGCATGATCACCTGGTCAGGGTTAGTCCTCCCAAGGGCATGTTGGTGGCTGCTGGTCCCCATCCCTGAAGACCATGAGGGTCTCATGGATAGCCGTTTGGTGTGGAACTCAATGACACCCCCCTTTTCCTAAGTAAGACGAAGCCAAACTAGGAAGAGAAGTACATTGAACAGGAACCCATGATGCTTTTATCACTCACTCATATGCAGAGTTCATAGCACTCAAGAATTCTAAATTGAAACCCCTCCTAGGTCTTTCTGGAGGGACAGTTCTTGGGGCAGAAAAAAAAAACTCAGCATATTGTATATAACGCTTTAGTTCACCTTAAACTTAAAATTTTAAACACATGGCATATGGATTTTCATTTGTATGCTCATAAATGTCAGAATTAGGTCTGCATGTCTCTCCCCTCTTTTATCCCAGTGAACCTGTCCATCAATTCCCTAGCTCAGCTGGAGCTACTGGAACAGATACCCCTCGTGTCTGTCCTTCTGATCCTTGCTGCTGTACTCGCAGCAAAGATAGAATGAACCAGACTTTAGAAGCCTGCTGAGCCTCACTCACAACCAGGCACAAGGCCCATATTTGCAGCCCAGGGTCACACTCAGTGACCACAGCTGTTTTCCTTTCATCTGCCTGATGTCCCCGCCATCTGGATGGTGTGGCTGTCATGCTCTTTGCCTTTAATGGCTTTGATTGCTGAGGTAATTTCTGACTGAAAAAGATAGCTGAGTTATAGTGCTGTCACACCATGAATGATCAGACATTGACAAATATTTATGATGTGTTAGGCACTGTACTCTTGTGACTCTCATCTGGCAGCTGCCTGCAAAGGCTGAGTTAGGTGCCTGTCTCCTCAGGTCCCACAATACAGGGGTCATAGGTGTCTTAGGGTTTCTATTGCGACAAAACACCATGACCTAGCATGACCTAGTTGGGGAGGACAGGGTTTATTTGGCTTACACTTCCAGATCATAGACTATCACTGGAGGAAGTCAGAACAGAAACTCAAGCAGGGCTTGAATCTGGAGGCTGGAGCTGATG